CATGGATTATGGTAAGAAACTACTAGGTTGGTGCAGGGCACACAGCAGAAGCTCCATAAAGACTTGCCTGTGCGTGCTGATTCTAGCTTCACCACCTTAGTCCTTGCATACTCACTGCTCCCTCTACCTGGAAGATTCTCTTCCTTGGATCTTGGCCATCTCTCTTTTGCTTTGATCATTCAGGAGCACATTCCAGTATCTCCTAGTGCAGGCTTTCACTGACATTTGTAGTACTTAGTGCTTCTCAGATATTTACTTGTGTCTACCTCAAGCTCCTGCTTAGCCACAGGGACCTCAGACAGCCTTAGAAGTGCTTTTGAATGAATATGTGAAACTCTCCAACCTCTAAATATGAATAGGTTTTTTTCCCTGTTTGATCCTATGGATCTGGTACTCTTTGGAAAAAGCCGACTCTAAGCATTAAAGTAGACTGCCCACAGACACCTACTTTCATTTCATTATTTCACTGTAATTGCTCTCTGGGCTTCTTTCTATTCAGCTCCTTTTTTTTTTTTCTTTTTTTTTCTTTTTTATTAAACCAGGGATTGAACTCAGGACCTTGTGCTTGCAAGGCAGGAACAGTGGTGCTGAGCAAAATCTCTGGCCCTTCTGGGCTTCTGTTCAGACTTTCCTGCCCCTTGCTGGTGTCTTTCTGAGACTGCAATATATCATTCAGTTCTGTTTACTTACCCTGTTTACTTAACCCTTGCATTTCATTTACCAGTTTTAATGAGGTCCTTGAACCTGGTATAGTGGCAGACACCTGTAATTCTGGCACTCTGGGAGGCTGAAGCAGAAAGATTGCAAGTTTGAGCTGAGCCTAGTCAATTGACCAAGACCCTATCTCAGAATAAAAGGCACAGGAGATATGTGTAGCTCAGTTGTGAAGGTCTTGGGATTAGTCTGTAGTACCAAACTGAATCAAAACAAAACAAAAAAGTTCAATCCCTTCCACTGTATTTCTTCAAATGGTATCAGAAATCTTTAGGGCATGGGGATGTAGGTCATTAATAGAGTGCTTGCCTAGCATGCTCAAGGCCCTGGTCAATCCCCAGTACTGCCAAAAAGCAAAACACAGAAATTTATTCAAAAAGTAAATGTGGAAGGGAAGTAGAAGGAAAATTTCTTGTAAACAACTCGGTTTCTAGTACTAGTTTTTATGACATCATGCAACTGTTTGAATCAAAAACACTTTCTTGCTTTAAAACTGAAAATATATATTTATTTATTTGTATCAGGGAATCAAACTCAGGACCTTGTGCTTGTAAGGCAGGTGGCAGCACTATTGAGCTAAATCCCCAGCCCTAAAACCGAAAATATTTTAAATAGTGTATTGGCATAAGACAAATAAGCCAGTGGAATAGAACGGAGAGCCTAGAAATAAATCTTGACATACATGGTTAGTTTTATTTTCAGTATTGAGAATTGAACCCAGCACTTTCACACTGAGCTACATGCCATCCCTTTTTAATTTTTTTCATTTTAAGACAGTCTCCGTAAGTTTTAAGTCACCCAGACTGCACTCAAACTTGCCATCCTCCTGCTGAGGCCTTACAGAGTGCCAGGATTACAAGTGTATGCCACTATGCCCATTGTCAATATGGTTGGTTGGTTTGAGACATGGTGTAGTTCAGGCTGGCCTTGAACTTGGAACCGTCCTTGCACACCCTCCCAAGTGCTGAGATTACAAGCTTGTACTGCCATGCCCAGCTCAGTGGTTTTTGAAGGGAAGACACAAATGACGTTGAGAAAACCAAATACCCTCATGCAAAAGAATTAAGTTGGGCTGGGGAATGTAGCACATTGGTATCATGCTCACCAAATTCAAGACCCTGGACTTTATCTACAGCACCACCAAAAACAAAAGAAAAAAAAAATGGAAATTAGACCCTTACCTTACACCATTGACAAAAATCAATTGAAAATGAATCAAAAGGGCTAGGGATTTAGCTCGGTGGTTCTGCTGCCTGCCTTGCAAGTGCAAGGTCCCCAGTTCAATCCTTGGTACCAAAAAAAGGGGGTAAAGAGAAAATGAATCAAAAGACCTAAATGAAAGAGCTAAAGCTATAAAAATTCTTGAAAGAAAACAAGCAGAGCTTCATGACATTGGACTTGTCATTGAGTTCTCAGATGTGATGCCAAAAGCTCAGAAAGCAAAAGAAAAATAAGTAAATGTGACTACTTCATAATTAAAAGTTTTTTATTCCTGCTTGTCCTTTTGGCTAAGGTCAAGTTTTGCATAATTAAAAGTTTCTGTGTATCAGAGGACACCCAGGGAGCCAGGTGAAGAGGATCACTGAGTATTTAAGAGGCCAGCCTGAACTACATAGCAAAACCGTGTCTCAAAAACAACAACAAAAAAAGGACACCCAGCAGTAAAAAGGCAATTGTCAGGATAGCAAAAAAAAAATGTGCTAATTATGTATATGATAAAGAATTATTGGGATGGGGATTTAGCTCAGTGGTTCCACCACCTGCCTTACAAGCGCAAAGTCCCTAGTTCGATCCCCAGTACCAAAAAAAGGAAAAATTACATTTGGGCCAGGAATGTAGTGGTTCTGCTGCCTACCTCGCAAACGCAAGGACCCGAGTTTGATCCCCAGTACCAAAAATTTTAAAAATAAAAATAAAAAAAAGAATTATTGTCTAGACTACATAAAGAGCAACTTAATTTTTTGTTGGTTTGTTTTGGTGTTTTGTTTTTTGTTTCTTTGGTTGGTTTTTTTGCAACAGAGTCTGGCTATGTAGTTGACACTGACCTAGAACTCACCATGTAGCCCAGCTGTCCTCCTACCTCAGGCTCCTGAACACTGGGATTACTGGTGTGCACCACCACACCCAGCTGTTTGTTTATTTTTGTTTTATTCTGGTACCCTGATGGAATGCAGGACCTTTTACTTGAGAGGCAGGTGGTGGTACCACTGAGCTAAATCCCTGACTCAAGAACAACTTAATTTTAAAATGGTTAAATGACTTAAACAATTGGTTCTCCAAAGAAGATATGTACATGGCTGAGAAACACGAAAGGATTTTCAGGGACTAATCATTAGGGAAATGCAAGTCACAACACAGCACTGGGCAGCCTAAGCAGAAGAATCCAGAAAGAGAATCACTGAGTTGGAGGCCAGCTTGGGCTGAATAGTGAGTTCAAGGACAGGTTGAACTGCATAGTGAGACCCTGTCTCACAAAACATCTGAGATACCAGTTCCCATTTCACATCCATCAATAAAGACTTTTAAAAATAAAAATAAAAAGCCCGGCGGGCATGGTGGCGTACACCTGTAATCCCAGCAGTGGTGGGGGCCGGGGGTCCTGAGGCAGGAAGATCGCTGTGAGTTTGAGACCAGCCTGGGCTACACAGGGAGTTCCAGAGCAGTCTAAACTACATAGCGAGACCCTGTCTAAATAAATAAATAAACAAACAAATAAATAAATAAATAAATAAATAAATAAATAAATAAATAAATAGCTAGCAAGCAAAGTAGAGTGGTGACAAAGATGTGCAGAAGTTAGAATATTTGTGTGCTGATGATCCTCAAAAAATTAAAACAACATTAGGTGATTCAGCAGTTCTGCTTCTGCGTGTATACCAAAAATATTGAAAGCGTACAGGAATTTGTATGCTCATGTTTATAGGGGCAGAACCCGCAGTAGCTAAAAGGTGAAAACAAGCCAGTATCCCTCAGTGGATGTGTGTAATTGTGTCATATACATGCAGTGCAAAAGGAATTCTGTATATGCTCACAACCTTGGCGAACTTTGAGAAATTTTGCTAAATGAAATTGTGAGGCACAAATGACAAAAGTTTCAGTTCCTAGAGTAGTCAGCCCTACAGAGACTGAAAGTAGAGTGAATATACCACTGAACTGTATAGTAGAGATGGTTAATGTGGAGGCTATTGTGTCTCTCTTCACAGTAGCCTACCCTATGCTACAAGGTGTGTGTGGTGGTGGTGGTGGTGTGGTACCAGGGATCAAACTAGGGTCCTTCCATTTGGGAGGCAGGTGGCAGAACCACTGAGCTAAATCACCAGCCCCAAGGTATGGGGTTTTTTTTCCCTCCCTTTTTCCTAATTTACTTGGTCCAAACATATTTTATCCTACTTTTAATAAATGTGAAACTTTGTCACTGTTTTTTTAAAAGTATAATTTAAAGATCAAAAATAATTATAAAATGTACATGATTTTCTATCTGATGCCATTATTAACTCAGCTTATTACAAGTGCCTGAATAAGATTAATGGCCTCTGATGATTAAACAACAACGCTTCATTCTGTTAAGCTAACTAGGAAGCTTTTTACACTTCAGGTAACTATGGAATAGAAATTCCAACGTCCTTCTAACTAGTGCTTCCTGGTCTCTGTCTGGTAATGTTGCAAGTATCTATCAATGCATAATGATTTATCATCCCTTGATGTGAAAAATTGAACTTATATAGGACTTACATGTACATTAGGAAGTAAATGACTCTCTTCTCCCATTGGTTTGGTTTCATTTTTTTTTTTTTTTTTCGGTTTTATGAGACAGGGTCTCACTATGTAGTTGAGACTGACCTGGAATATACTATGTAGCCCAGGCTGGTCTCGAACTCACAGTGATCCTCCTGCCTCAGCCTCCCAAGTGCTGGGATTACAGGTGTGCGCCACCGCGCCCAGCTCCATTATGTTTTATGTAGGCACTTAGCTTTGTAAATTATTCAAGTTTTTATGTATTTGTTTGAAAAAACAATGCCTGCTATGTGTATTTAAGGATGGGCACACGTGTGTACATGGGAAACCCAAAATGTAAATTAAAAACCAAATAAAAAAGTTAGATAATAGAACGTAGAGAAATAGATCTGTCTCTGGAAGGGGATCAGGAGATGAAGGATGCAGCAAGGAGGGCAGGGAAGGGGACAAAAAGAATTAAGATGTGTACTGCAAACATGTGCTAATAATTTTTTTAAAATCAAGAGAAAGTATTTTGTCATTCAGTAAAATTTGTCTCTCTCTCTTTTTAGGATATTTTCTTTCCTCGATGTCGTTACTTTGTGTCGCTGTGCACAGGTTTCTAGGGTAAGAATGGTTGGCATGATTATAGGGCCATCATGGAAACCTTTTAGAGCTTTCAATGATACAAACAGCCCACTGTGGCATGTGTGCCATAGGTTCCCCACCACTATTATAGGGGACCCCTTCCTGTCACTAAGGAGGACAGCCTTTGCAGTAAGTTAACTATGTTTTAGGTCTTTCCTGTACATTGTTATGTTTAGACTGTAACTTCAGCCATAGCATACATGTCCTATGTAATTGTGTGGTGGGATTTTAAATACATGTACTCTCACTAACATTTTGTAACTTTTATTTGTGTAATATAAGCAGGAAACATTTTCACTGAAAAAGCATTGAACATGTAAATTAAAAAGCTAGGCCTAACCTGGCATGGTAGCATACAGCTATAATAACAGCTATTCAGGAAGCTGAAGCAAGAGGATTACAAGTTTGAGGCAACTTGGACTACTTAGGAAATAGTCCCTATATGTCTGGGAAGCTGGATATGTATTTATACATGAGTCTTGGGCATCTAATTCTTTTTATGTGTGTGTGGTACTAGGGATAAAACTCAGGAAGTAGTCCTTGGAAGGCGGGCAGTGGCACCACTGAGCTAAATTCCCGGCCCCGAGGCATCTAATTTTTACATTATTTCTCCAAATTCTTAAAAGAGGTTAGGTAGAATTTGTTTAAAGGTGGAAACAGGAAAGTGAGTCAGTGGCAAAGCACTTGGCTTGTATCCATAGGCCCTAGGTTCAATCTTGGGGACAAGAAGAAGTTGCAGAGCAAACCATATTTCATTTTGTCTTATTTACTTTTCTCATTGTTAAGACAAAATACCCAACACCTAGAGTAGGAAAGGTTTATTTTGTCTCAGTTTGTAGCCTTCCTGACCGGGCAGCATGGCACAGGGACCTGTGGAAGAGAAATAGTCCATGGCTGGGCACCAGGAAATAGCAGCCCCAAACCTTTTAGGTAGGGTCAGGGTGGGGCCTCTGTCTTTAGTAAGTCCATTCAGCCACGCCCAGAACTATGCCAATCCCAGTCTGTGGGCTAAATTAATGCCACCCACCCTTAGTCCCAGTATCACACCCCTAGATATGGCCAGATCTGAAAAGCTCCACCTTTGAGTGCATGAGGCTTTGGGGAACATCTAGATACAAACCATAACACATTTCTAGATCAGCTTCTACATTGTGCTTAGCTATCCAGTTTGTCTCAACAGATAAATTGCTGTGACCAAAATGGCCAAATAATCATAACTTCCTAGGCTGCCACTAAAACATAGGGTAAAATCTCCATTATGGGAAAATTACCCTATGAATCATTTCTAATCTCTTTGATAATAAAAATATAACAATAAGATATGTACCTACAGTTAGCATGTTTTTGTTTTGTTTTGTTTTTTTACCTGGGATCCAGCTGATGACCTTGTGCTTGCAAGACAGGTGTGGTGCCACTGTGCTAAATCCCCAGCCTCCAGTTATCTTTTTATAAATCCGATGCCAGCTTTTAGTTCATTTAACAAATACTACCAAAAAGCTAACAAAAATTCACTTCTGAGATGCAGAAATTACTTTTCTTTTTCTTGTTTTTCCTCGTGGTACTAGATTGAACCCGGGGCCTTTGCACTGAGCTGCACTCCCAACCCTTTTTCTAAATTCTATTTCAAGACAAGGTCTTTGTTAAGTTGCCTGGGCCAGGCAGCTGGAACTTGTGCTCCTCCTGCCTCAGTCTGCGAGAGTGCTGGCCATATAGGAGTGCATCACCATGCCAACTCAGAAATTAAAGTTAATACAACAGAAATTTTCTACATTAAGGTTGTTTTGGTGTCATTTTGTGTGCGTGTGCATGAGGTAGTTATGGTAAGGATTTGAAGGGACACTTAGGACCACCTTCAAAGATAAACACAGTAAGAACAACTATTTTACATACCTTCAAAGATAAACACAGTAAGAATGACTATTTTACATACCTTATCAATCAGTATGCATGCATTAGCTATTTTGGGGTGGGTTTTTTTTTTGTTTGTTTCTTTCTGTTTGTTTGAGACAGGGTCTCACTATGTAATTAAGACTGACCTCGGGCCGGGGATTTAGCTCAGCGGTTCGGTGGTTTGGTTGTGGCCTGCCTTGCAAGCGCAAGGACCTGAGTTCAATCCCCGGTACCAAAAAAAAAAAGACTGACCTGGAACTCACTATGTAGCCTAGCCTGGTCCTGGAACTCACAGCGATCTTCCTGCCTCAGCCTCCAGAGTGCTGGGATTACAGGCGTACACCACCACGCCTGGCTTATATCAGCTATTTTGAAAACTACCAATGGTATTAGGATGATTTTTTTTTTCCACCAGTACTGGAGTTTGAACCCATAGCTTCACACATGCTAGGTAACACTATACCACTGAGCTACATCCTGAACCCTTATTTCTGAGAGAGTCTTGATAAATTGCCCAAGTTGGATTCTTCAAGTCTTCCTGCCTCAGCCTCCTTAGTAGCTGGGATTATAGACCTCTAATACAACAAGCCCCTATATCAAAACAAACAGTAAAAAGGACTGGGGATGAAGTTTAGAGTAGAGGCCCTAAATTCTATCCCAGAACTGCTAAATAACGGAGGTGAGGAAGTCTAGTCCATTCTAATCTGGTCTTGGTTATAGCACCACAACCTGCCCTTCCCTAGTTCAAGATCTTCTGTAGCTATAAGTTTCTCTACCCACTCACCGATGGAGAGAAAAGTACGTATCAGATTAAGGCAGATGGGCTGGGATAAATTACCAGTAGGCACTGGAGGGTTTTTCACTGTGCTTCAGTCATTATTTGGTTGACTGGTAAATGTGAATATTGCTTTTTTCTTTCTTTCAACTTTTCTCCGTCTCTTTTTTCTGGAAAATAGGCCTGGAATGTTCTTGCTCTGGATGGCAGCAACTGGCAGCGAATTGATCTATTTGATTTCCAGAGGGATATTGAGGTATAATTACGTGTTGTGTGGCCCCATTTCTCTTGTTAGTAATTACGGTGTGGAACAGATGAGCACCAGCCATATAAATCTTATTTTCCCCAAAGAGAGAAACTACTATTTTCATTATATCTGAAACTCATGGGAGTTTCCAGAAGTTCCCAAGAGTTTTAGTTTTGAGCATAAGCAAAATTATTTCATTGAAATAATACTAAGTTATTTAGAGTAAATTTTAGTCCTGAATAGGACCCCAGGTTTGGAGGTGTTGAGGGTTTTGTTTTGTTTTGTTTTTTGAAGGGGTATGAGGGATCAAACTCGGGACCTTGTGCTTGTGAGGCAGGCGGGGGCACCACTGAGCTACATCCCCCAGGTGTTTCATTTTTGCCAAGTTATGAATGAATGTGTTTGGAGTTTGCTCATTTTATATTTGTTTATTGAAAAACAGTTGTTGGGATGATATTTGTATGTTGCCTCTTTGGAAAGAATATGAAGATGAATATGTAGTATATATTGTCCCTCAGCAGCTGTTTTTGTTTGTTTTAAATTAATTTTATTGGTACCCTTTTAGTATGCATAATGATCACATTCATCATAGGGAATTTGTACTGTACATAAAATATCTTGCTGCTTCCCCCCCCATTCCTCTTCCCTCCCTTCAACCTTTCTTTTGCTCCTTATTTATAAAAGCTTTGTTTCCATTTTTTTCCTTCTATTCTCTTCTTTTTTCCCTTTTCCTTTCTTTCACTTCTCCCGTCCCCTTCCCTTGGTTCCCTTCCCATTTAAACATTTTCTTCCTGCTTCCCAAAAGCTGTCAGCCATTTGGTCCTTATTCACACTTTTGGTTTCTCACACAAGAGAAACAATGTGATATTTAAACATGGTTGTCCAATTTATTTCAGTTAAAAGTATAATCTCAAGGTATATCCATTTACCTAAAAATGTCTCAAGTTTACTCTTCTTTGTGCATAGTGGTACTCCATTGTATATAAAAACCACATTTTCCTTTCTCCTTTTTTTTTTTTTAACCAGGAATTGAACTTAGAACCTTGTGCTTATGAGGCAGGCACAGTGTCACTGAGCTACATTCCTGCCAGAAAAACCACATTTTCTTTATCTGTTCATCTGTCACTGGGCATCTGGGAATCTGTTTTTGGTTTTTTTTTTGAGACAGGGTCTCGCTGTGTAGTTTAAATAGGCCTCATACTCACGGCAGTCCTCCTGCCTTAGCTTCCCAAGTGCTCAGATTACAGGCCCGAGCCACTGTGCCCAGCTCAGTTAGGAGCTGTGATTTAAACCAGGTATGGACAGGATACATTCATATAGTGCCATAAAAGACAGAGAAAATACCATTCCTCAAATACAGAACATCTTACAAATTGAAAACAGTATTTTCCTATTTAATTAGTTCTTTGAAACAAATAGAAGCCATTTTTGTTTATAAATTGTTAAAAACAAAATAGGATGTATTTTTCTCAAAAGTAGTGAGGCAGGTTGTCTATTTACCTATTTCTTGTTACAGGGCCGGGTAGTGGAGAATATTTCAAAACGATGTGGAGGGTTTTTACGAAAGTTAAGTCTTCGTGGGTGTCTTGGAGTAGGAGACAATGCATTAAGGTAAAAAAATAATAATAATTACTGGTTAATCTGTTTTGATTTTATTTTAACTGAAAATTGAACCCAGGACATTCACATGGCACTGCATCCCAGGCTCTTTTGTTGAGACAGGGTCTCACTAAGTAGCACAGGCTGACCTGGAACCCAGAGTGATCCACCTTCCTACCTCAGCAACATGTCAGTTACAGGCATGTACCACCATAGCAAGACGGGGTCTTGCTAAATCATGAGGGCTGGGCTGGAATTTACCATGCTGCAGCTTCAACTTCCCATACTGCTGAAATTATAGGCATGGGCCACCTTCCCTGGCTTCATTAATCACTTTGATTGAAATAAGGAACAGCATCACCTCACCAGAAAATGCCTAAGTAGTTTTTAAAATTTCTAAGTGGTTATAAATTCAAATACATTTTTTAAAAATTCAAATGCATATACATTGTTTATAACAGAAAAATATCTGGTAATTGAATGGTTTTAAGAATAGGGGCAAGCCGGGTGTGGTGGTGCACGCCCGTAATCCCAGCACTCAGGTGGCTGAGGCAGGAGGATCCCTGTGAGTTTGAGACCAGCCTGGGCTACATAGTGAGTTCCAGGTCAGTCTCAACTACATAGTGAGACCCTGTATCAAAAAAAGAAAAGAAAAAATAGAAAAAGAATAGGGGCCGGGGGCCAGAATTTAGCTCAGTGGTTCCACTGCCTGCCTTGAAAGCACAAGGTCCCAAGTTCAATCCCCGGTACCAAAATAAAAAAAAAAATAGGGGCCTGGATGTAGCTCAATGGCACCATACCTTCCTGGCAAGCACAGGGTCCTGAATTTAATCCCTGGTACCAGAAAAAAAAAAAAAAGCAGAGCATATACTTCCCCAGAAAGGCCAGATTCCCCATCCTCAGTGGTTCTTTCAGAACCTGAGTTTTTTTGTTCTTTGAACTTTTGTCTTTCACCAATGATCAATTGTTGTTGTTGTTGTTGTTGTTGTTGTTGTTGTTGTTGTTGTTTTCTGATGATGTTTTTTGAGACAGGGTCTCACTATGTAGTTGAGACTGACCTGAAACTCGCTATTATATAGCCCAGGTGTAGTGATCCTCCTGCCTCAGTCTCCCAAGTGCTGGGATTACAGATGTGCACCACCAGGCCCGGCTTCGATGGCCAATTTTTTGGTGTTTTATAACTCAATACTGACAGCACACAGTTACCTTAGACCCCATAGGATAAGGGCTCAGTCCAAAAGACGGCCCATACTTGAGATGGCAGTTGCAAGTCCCATGTTATTATATACTTTTGTGGAGGGGTGCTGAGAATTGAATACAGGGTCTTTTTGTACTGAACTATATCCTTTGCTGTATTTTTTTATTTTGAATTGCCTAGGCTGGTAATGAACTTATGATCCTCCTTCCTGAGACTAAAGTATAGTACCATGCCCAGCTGCTGTGTACTGCTGGTGAATGGGATAGAAATCGGGTTCCCCTGATCCCTTCCTGGGGCTTGAAAATCTGCTGTATGGTTCCCAGAACTCAGGAAAATCCTTCAGTTACTTTACCAGTTATCATGAAGGATGCAGATGAAGTACATGGTTAAGATTCATAAGGCTCCCAAGCACAGGACCTTCCATCCCTGGGGGATTAGGGCATTCTACCCTCCCAGCACATGTCTGTGCTCACCAACCCAGAAGCTGCCCTGTTCCCATCATTTAGGGCCTTTTACAATGGCCATGTTACCTAGGCATAATTGAACAAATATTACAATGAAAGACACTCCTGTACCCCTGTCACTTAGGAATCACAGGGGTCTTAAGAGCTCTATTCAACTGGAGATTTAGCTTTGTGGTTCAGACACCTGCCTTGTAAGCACAAGGTCCCAAGTTCGATCCCCGGTACAAAAAAAAGAAAAAAAAAACTGTATTCAAATAACTGGAGATGGAAAACAAATACATATTTTTTCTATCACAATATAAAAAAATAACCATCGGTATTATGAAGAATAAATCGTTTTATTTTTATGCTTGGAATTTTGCCCATTTTATTTAAACCTTTTACTTTGCTTCTTTCCCATAAAGGACCTTTGCACAAAACTGTAGGAACATTGAAGTCCTAAATCTAAATGGGTGTACAAAGACGACAGATGCGTAAGTAGTGCATGTTTTAGAAGTGTAAGTGGTAGACCTTATATGTGATCTATACAAGTTTTAAATCATGGCTAATTAACATACTGAGCTGCTGGGCGTGGTGGCGCAAGCCTGTAATCCCAGCACTTGGGAGGCTGAGACAGGAGGATCACTGTGAGAGACCAGCCAGGACTACACAGTGAGTTCCAGGTCAGTCTCAACTACATAGTGAGACCCTGTCTCAAAAAAAAAAACAAAAACAAAACAAAACAAAAAGCATACTGAGCTGCTTTCATCTTGATTTTACAGAGGAAAGATTTTAAAAGGAAAAAGCAACATGAAGGTAGAAATGGAGTAAGAATTTGAAATCCTGTCTTATTTAAAGTGAACTATAAAGTCATAGTCTATATGCAGTAGGGATAATAAAAATGACAGTAAATGTAAATTCTTTAGAAAGATTAAAATAGTAATTCAGCAAGACTAAACAGTTTGTATTAATCAGTACTGATAGCATTTAATGCAAATCTCTAAATGTGCTAATCTGTACCACTCACAATATAAAAGAAATTAAAGAAGCCAGGCTTGGTGACACACCTGAAATTACAGCATTCTGGGAGGCTGAGGTAAGAGTATCACAAATTTGAGTCCAGCCTGGGCAATTTAGCCACCTAGTAAAACCCTGTCTCAAAATAAAAAGTGTTTTATGGGCTGGGGATTTAAATGCTCAGTGGTTCTGCCACCTGCCTCTCAAGCACTAGGACCCAGGTTCGAGAAAAGTGTTTTAAAGGAGTAAGTAAAAATACTTTGGACAAGGAATGACACTGATTATTGGACACAGGGCCTTTCACTGAGCTACATTCACACCTCCCCACCTTTGGTGGGGGGTCACTAAGTTGCTAAATTGCCCAGACTAGGCTTGAACATGTAGTCCTTCTGCCTTTCCAGAGCGCTGGGATTACAGTCATACACCAGCTTTATACACCAGGCAAAAAAAAGTATAAATTTTAAAAATCACGAACAAGGCTCCAGCTTCTGACAGTAACAGCAACTCCTTTCCTGCCACGGACAACTACAAAACTAGATAAAGTAATAGGGGAAAACCCAAATTAAAGTATCAGCACACATTTACAAGACTTTGAAATAAATGAAGTGAGCCCTATGAAAAATTTCAGTGGCATTTTCCAGACCATGTCAGGAGTTCTTGCTGATTTTAAAGAAAGAGATCAGAGTCCAAGGGGACTAAAGGAGCAGGAGCCAGGCAAAGTGTTATATGCTTGTAATCTCAGCACTCAGGAGACTGAGGCAAGATGATCACTGCAAGTTCAAAGCCAACCTGGGCTGCATAGTGAGTTCAAAACTAGCCTGAACTACATAGTTAGACCCTGTCACCCAAAAACTGGCAAGAATTTGTCTGGTAATAAAAGAACTACTCAAAAGCCATATGAAAACAGGCAGCAGGCAAGAGTTGGCCCTTGAGCCATAGTTTGCTTACCTCTGGCGTAAAGGACAAAAACCACATGATCATCTCATATAATAGATGGCCTTCAAATAACCCCTACTTCTGGGTATTTCTACTCTTGGGTAATCCTTTCCCCTTGTGGACATCATGACCCTTGTGACTCATTTCTAACAATAGAATAAATGCTGCATAAGGGATGGGATGTTGTTTTTGAGATTAGGTTGCAGCATGTCTTTTGTGCTGCTCTGCTTTCTCCTGGGCACTTGGCTTTCACGGAGGCCGGCTGCTCTGCCGTAGGTCTGTCTGTGGAGAGATCCACGTGGCCAGGAACCAGTGTCCTCCAGCCAGCCACTCACAAGGGCCTGACAACTCTCAAAGCCAGGAATGAGCTTTCTTTTTTTTTTTTTTTTGAAGGAATGAGCTTTCTTTTTTTTTTTTGTTTGTGTGTGTGTGTGTGTGTGTGTGTGTGTGTGTGGTACCAGGAATCGAACTCAGGTCCTTGCGCTTGTGAGGCAGGCCACTGAACCACTGAGCTAAATCCCACGCCCATCAGGAATGAGCTTTGAATTGGATCACCAAGGTCTGGTTCCTTGACAACAGGCTCTGTGAGAGCCTCACCCAGAAGCACTCTATCTACTAAGTTCCCTATATGCTCCTGACCCAGTTTGTGTTAAGGTAATTTATTATGCAGAAAGATAACTAATACATTACTAGGCACAGAAAAAGCACACAGCAAAATCCAGTACCCTTTCATGATGAAAACAAATGCAAGGAGCTTTCTTCAATGTGGTCAGAGGTATCTATGAAAAACCTATTGCCAACATCATACTTAATGGTGAAAGACTGAATGCTTTTTCCCTAAGATCAGCAATAACCACTCCTTTTACGGGGGAGATACTGAGACTGAACTTGGCCTCACATCTGCTAGTTATGCAGTCTGCCACTGAGCTCCACTCCCAGCCAAAACTCTATAGTCAATATTGCATTGCAAGGTCTAGCCAGTGCCAGAAGTAGTTGTTTGTTTTTTTGTTTTTAATATATACTGATGTTTTCATCAGGAGAACTTTGTTTGCAAATAACATAATTCTGTAATTTGTGTAGAAAATCATAAGGAAATCACCAAAAAAATGCTACAATTTATAAATCTTAAGAAGCTCATTTGTGGGTCAGGGATTTAGCTCAGTGGTTCCACCGCCTGCCTCACAAGTGCAAGGTCCCAAATTCGATCCCCAGTACTTGGGAAAAAAAAAAAAAAAAAAAGCTCACTTGCAACAAGATCATTGTACAAGCAGGATATAGTATTGTATACCTAGAATCCAAGTGCTCTGAAAGGCTGAAGCAAGAGGATTTTAAATTTGAGCCCTTCTGGGAGGTTTAACAATTTAGCAAGACGCTGTCTCAAAATAAAAATTAAAGCTCAGTGGCATCATGCCTGCCTGGCAAGTACAAGGTCCTGAGTTTGATCCCCAGTACCAAAAATCAATTAAATAAATAATGAAAAGGGCTGGGGATGTGGCTTAGTAGAAAGGCCCTGAGTTCAATCCTCGTCTTTTGCATACCTTGGAAAAATCTAGTTCTTTTCCCAAGCATACTAGTGCAGGCCTGTAATTCAGCTACTGACCATGCTGGATTGTAAGCTCAACAAGAGGATTGTAAATGCAAGCCCAGCCTGGGCAGCTCAGTGAAGGAGACCTTTCTCAGAAAGGACCGGGGGTCTACCTCAGCATTCACTGGATTCAGTCCCCAGTATCACAAAAGAAGAAATCCGATGCATTAGTGCTGTGCAGCTGATTATCTTGGATACAGATATAAGTAAAACAGAGGCAGGACTTCTGGTCCTCATGTTTGAGTTCACACTAGTAGGAGTTTGTTAACTTTGGTGACCTGGATTTGCAGAATACATAAGTGGTGTGCTGTTAGTAGCTGTTTACATTTCCCAATGTGAATCATCATTTTCCTCCTTCATAGCCAGCCTTTCTTTTTCTTTGTGAATGGCATCGGTCCCTTCTTCAGTGTGAAAGGTCCCAGGGCTTAGAGCTGCATTTGAGAGGGTATGAAAATTTTATGTCTCTAATGTGCACACATTTACTGAGAAAGGTATGTGATACAGTAAGAATGTGTTCTTATTTTGCTTATTGATTATTTTTCCTCTCTCCGTTTTCAGTACATGTACTAGCCTTAGCAAGTTCTGTTCCAAACTCAGGCACCTTGACTTGGCTTCCTGTACATCGATAACAAACATGTCTCTCAAAGCTCTGAGGTAAATTCCTTATAATGAGTATGTCCGTTAATACATAACTTTTATAGACTGGTATAAGGTTGACATCAGCCTTGTTTTATGGATGTATTACTGTAGTTTTGGATAGATCTTTAATTTTACCACTGTCCCAGTTACAGTTAGAGGAAACATTCAAGTGAAATGACTTGTGATAATTGGAATTTCTGAACAGAGCAGTATGATTTATACATGAATGATGTTCATGTATTTTTTAACCATTTACCAATCCAATTATTTAAAAAGGGGATGACCAAACTCACATATTTTTTATTAATTTGTATAAGATAACAGGAGATATAAAAACACTTTTATCAAATTTACTCCATACAAGAGTCTGGTTGAAATGACACCTCCCCAGGCGACCTTCAGGATAATGTGTAAAGAAACACACTGCCCAAGTGACCCTTGGGGTATACTTACTGTTAAGTGGTTAAAGTCCTATAGATCCAGAAGGTAAATCTTAAAAGAGGGATAGAATGCCCTTGCGGGGGGGCTTTTTTACCCAGCTTTTAATAAATTGATATGGTCTCCTTATTGGTTATACTTATGCATGTAAAGAATTAAACTATTTAAAAAGAAGAAAAGAAGGCCAGGGATTTAGCTCAGTGGTTCAGCTGCCTGCCTTGCAAGTGCAAGGTCCCAAGTTGAATCCCTGGTACCAAAAAAAAAAAAGGAAAAGAATTGAACTATTAAAAAAAAAAAATAAAGACTGGTGCCACACACCTGTAATCCCAGCACTTGGGAGGCTGTGGCAGGAGGATCACTGCAAGTTCCAGGCCATTGAACTCACTATACAATGAGACCCTCTCTAAAAAAACAAAATTAAAAAGTAGATTTAAATAGAATATATCAAAATGTGGTTTCTGTATTTATTTGTTCCCTTGTTTATTTTAAGTGTAACTCCTTTTAAACGCTCCTTGTGAATACTGAGCACATACAGATCTAAGGACTGTTTGCCATGTAGAAATATAACAACTTTTATCATTTATTAAATATTTCTACATAAATTGTCTCATTTATGTGAGAGTAGATAGAAGAACATTTCTTCAAAGCTGTCAAGTGCCCCGGTAATGTTGGTACAACCTTGAGAATATAAAAAGCTTGGTGTTCATGAGTATTTCAGCTATAAAACTAAATTGATAAGGGTAGAGGTGACCAAAGATGAAGCTAATACTTGGTAGACAGAGATTAGTTGGGTGTGATGGTGCATACCTGTAACCTTAGCTCTCTGGGAGTCTGAGGCAGGAGAACTGCAAATTTGAGCCCAGGCTGGACAGCTTAGAAAGACCCTGTCTCAACACAGGGTGAGTGCTTGCCTTTCCAAACACCTGGCATCTCTGCACTGCTGATGCTACATGGAAGCTAAAGCCACACACTCCACGGCTCCAGGCCCTCAGAACAGAGCCGGCTCACCTGCTGTTGCCCGCCACCCACAGCCAGTCTGACCGCCAAGATGGCAACCACTGCAGCAGATGTGGCTGTGGCTCTGCTATTGGGCACACATTGGGTCGGGCCATCTCTGGGGCTTTGTTGGAGGAGGTAATGTGAGCCCTCCGCACCTGACATCACTCACCAAGGGCCTCGGGGCACTGAGCCAGAGCAGTAGCATCAGTCTGGGAGCTCTTGCTTTGATGTGAACGGACAGTATTTGGAGTGTGCCCAGAAGTTTTTGATGGTATGCTGAGACAGCGCAGAGTTGCAAATAGATCAGACTTAATCAGGAAGTTCCAGTAGAAGAACTGGGAAGTCAGCTGTGACTGTTACTTTAGCATGAAAATATAATTAATGAATGTATAGAATGTAAAAACCTTAAGCCTCTCATTATTAATAGCTTCATTGCTTCAGAATGGCATTGGAAGAGAATATTCTGACTATATCAGCAAATTTACTGAGGTGGTATAGAATGTAGGGCAGGCTTTTCTATAGCCTCTTCATATCAGTTGCTGTGATGTAATTACTCTTGGGTTAATTAGAATAAAATGAATTTCTTCCGTGGGGGAGCACAGGACTCAAACTTAAATAATGCAGACATGCACACACACACACTTTAAGGTGCTGAGTTTAATCTCTAATACCATAAAGTAAGTAAATTTAATTTTTTAAATTAAGTTTTTATAGGGCTGGGGATTTAGCTCTTTGGTGGGACACCTGCCTTGCAAGTGCAAGGTCTTGAGTTCAATTCCTATTGTAAAATGGAATGAGTCACTTAGTTTTCAGTTTCTGTCTTTATCAGCAAAACACGCTTGTGCTTTGTGCATTTTGCCTGGACTGAGTGAAATGACCCTGCAGGAACCTTTGGCGTTAGAGGTAGTGATCTGCTTGTCCTGTATGCTCTATTCTAAGCGAGGGGTGTCCACTGCTGGAGCAACTGAACATTTCCTGGTGTGACCAAGTAACCAAGGATGGCATTCAAGCACTTGTGAGAGGCTGCGGGGGGCTGAAGGCCTTATTCTTAAAAGGCTGCACACAGGTAATATTCCATGTAGTGCATGTGAAATTCCAAGGAAACGTAAACTGTGTCAACATTACCAAGATGTTTTTGTTTTGAGGGAACTGTGAGTACTGCATAGACACATGCTTACCACATTTCAGGCATTTTCTTTGAAATGAAAGAGAAAAATTAATATCTGACCAAAAATAAGTTGGGGTCAGGCAAAGTAGGGATGAGCTTATACTGAGGGAATACCGTAGGCAAAAAAGGTTTCGTGGAGGGTTTAGTCTGTACTGAAAAGTTTTTGCCTACAGTGATGACACACCCTTGTAATCCCAGCACTCAGGAGGCTGAGGCAGGAGGATGATTTTGAGGCCAGCCTGGACTATTCAGTCTGTGTCTCACACACACACACAGCTTGAGCTTCTGGTTATTTCTGGGATCCTGAGAGATACTGATTGGAATACAGCATTATGATCAGTTACCACCTGTTCTCAGCAATATAAGCATGCCAGGATTTTCCAGCAGCAGATAAATGCTGTGGGTTCCATTCCTGCCTCCCAAGTTTTTAAAAGTTTATCGGATCCCCAGTACTAGGAGGAAGGAAAAAAAAAAAAAAAAAACACTTACAAAGAAAGGGGTATAGATTTGTGAGAATTATTTTACTTCATAGCCTCTGCACAGCTGGGCATGGTGGTGCACACCTGTAATCCCAGCACGCAGTAAGCAAAGGCAGGAGGATCGCTGTGAGCTCAAGGCCAGCCTGAACTACAAAGTGAGGCCCTGTCTCAAAACAAACAAAATAGTTCCTCCACTGTACTTTGAGGTATATTCATCAGAACTAAAATCCATAGGACTGGGGATTTAGCTCAGCTGCCTGCCTCAAAAGTGCAAGGTCCCGAGTTCTATCCCTGGTACCTAAAGAATAAATAAAACCCATAACTTGGCAATATTATTTTATCTTTTCCTTGATTTCTGATTTCTTTTTTTTTTTTTTGGTACCGGGGACAGGTCCTTGCGCTTGCAAGGCAAGCCACCAAACCACTGAGCTAAATATCTGGCCCTCCTTGATTTGTAATGTGAATTTGATGTGGTAAGAACTGATTCTTTAAAATTATGAAAGTAAAAAAAATACCGATAGTCCTGCTAATAACAAGAATTATTCTGTTAAGTGATCATTTATTATTTATGGCTCATTGTTCTTTAATGGGTATATTGAAAATGTAGTAGTGAATGAGTTCTCTCAGGGCCAGGGATTTAGCTCAGTGGCACTCCACCTGCCTCAGGAGTGTAAGGTCCTGAGTTTGATCCCTGGTACTAGAAAGAATATGTAATCTCTTAAGGTTGCTTCTTTGAAATAATGCCAGTAACCACCTGTTTTTTTAATCTTTGTAGCTAGAAGACGAAGCTCTCAAGTACATAGGTGCACATTGTCCTGAGCTGGTGACTCTGAACTTGCAGACTTGCTTAGTAAGCATCCCTTTCCACAAGACTTCTTTATTAGGAATTCCTTTCACTAGTATTATTGATGTTATTTGTAAGAGTTTCAAGACCAGTAGCTTTTCCTCAGCAGCCATGGGGACAGCGCACACCCACAGATGTCTCTAATCTCTTGCGGGGGCCAGAAACGGGTTGGTTTTTTGAGACAGGGTCTCACTTTGTATTTCAGTCTGGCTTGAATTCACTGTGTAGGCCCATGCTGACCTATATTGATTCTCCTGCCTCAGCCTCCCAAGTGCTCCGCTGACAGGTGCTACCATGGCTTTTGTCTCTCTTACCTGCTTAAGAAAATCTTTCTGCTTAGCTATTTCATACCTTTTACCTTAAGCACTTTTCAAGGCTGGAGATAAGAGCATCCTAAGTTCAAGATTCACCTAAGCAACTTCATGAAATCCTACCTCAAAAAGTAGTGTCTATATTTAGCATTTTGGCTTCATCAGACCATCTGCTTTTTGTTATTTACCATGTGACTCCTAAATTTTACTTAGATAATTTCTTAAACTATTCAGGGGCTAGAAAATTATTTAGCTTTTCTCTCTTACCTTGAAAATTATAGATGTCTTACCTTGGAATGAGAGAGCCCCTCATAGAAAAAAAAATTTTGATGAGTTCTCCTAGTTTGTGCTAGGCCTTCTACTTCTTATGTCCTTTTTTTGTTCAATCATTTGGAACTGGAAAACCTGGTCATTGCTCAATTTATAGGTGAAAGGCCACAATTCTCAAGTCATGGTTGCTATCAGAATTTGCTGATAATCTTTTTGGTTCGGTTTTGCTTGGACTTTGAGACAGGGTCTCACTGTGTAGCCCAGGCTGGCCTCAAATTCTCAGTGATCCTCCTGCCTCAGCCTCCAGAGTGGTGTGATTATAGGTGTGCACCACCATGCCTAACATCTATGTTCATTTATATGGCTGAAATGTTTTCCCTGAGAGAGCAAACTTAGTCATTGTGAACATGAAGCAATCATCTTATAGTTCCGGGGCAAAGTTGTTCTTGTGCCGCTTCATACGGGCTGCAGGTGTTTATATACACACAATATATGTGCACTGTGCATGCACGTGCAATACATGTAAATACACATACCACATGTGTAAGTGCTGCTGTAGTTGGATTCGCTTTATGCTTCCAGCAGTCACAAATCAAAGTTGGTAAGGATAAAAAGCAATTCTTTCAATGTATTTTATTTTTTCTTTCACTGAAGTCTTAGTACAGGAGTTGTTCCTCCACTACAACATGATGAGATGCTTTTGTGCACTCATGAGAATTTTTTAACTTTTATTTTTGGAGTTGGGGGGGTCTCGCTAAGTTGTTAAGTTGCTGTCCCCCTGCCTCAGCCTGCCCCAGAGTGTGGGGTTTACAGATGTGTGCCACCTCCCCTTGGCTGATCATTCTCATCCCTGACTGATCTGAAAACATAAAAGTTAATTGATTTTACTATTTTTAAATTTGCATTAGTTTTGGCTATGGGACTTTCCTTAGTACTTCCATACATTTGTTTGTTTGTTTTTTGTTTTTTGAGACAGGGTCTCATTGAATAGTTGAGACTGACCTGGAACTCACTGTGTATCCCAAGCTGGTCTTGAACTCAGCGATCCTCCTGCCTCAGCCTCCCGAGTGCTGGGATTACAGGCGTGCGCCACCACAACCAGCTTGCAGTACTTTTCTAATACTACTTTGTGTCACAACTTCCAGTGCCCTGCTACATTTCCATGATTTAATTTCTGCTTCCCCTTACATCTTCAGTATCCTTGTTTAATAATAACGATACATCACGTTATATGTGTGTGTTGCTTTCTCCACATGAATGTATGTAGCTTCCTTACCATCTAGTTTTCAATGTCTGTTTTTGTTTTTTTGAGTTTTTTGTTTTGTTTTGTTTTGTTTTGCTTTGCTTTGCTTTTTTGTTTTGGGGATTTTATTGTTGTTGGAGAACATGCTGATTTAACCAGTGGGTATTAGCAGGGCTTGGTGGCACACACCTCTAACCCCAGTACTCCATAGTCTGAGGCAGGAGGATCACGGTGAGTTCGAGGCCACCCTGGGCTACATAGTGAGTTCATAGCCAGCCTGAACTGCAAAGCAAGACCCTGTCTCAAAAAAAAAAAAAAAAAGCTTTGAGGTTTTGCTTTTTTCCCTCAATTGTCCTTACAATTTAAGGACGGTGCTTAATTCAACAGGTGGTAAGGAAGCTTGTAAACCTACACAAAATTGGTAAATCTGAGCCGGGTGTGGTGACACACGCCTATAATCCCAAACTGGGGGTGGGGTCTGAGGCAGGAGGATCACTGTGAGTTCGAGACCAACCTGGGCTACATAGTGAGTTCCAGGTCATTCTCAACTACATAGTGAGACCCTGTCTAAAAAAAAATTTTTTTTATTTATTTTTTTGTAAATCTGACAGGATATATTCAAGTGCTGTTAGTATCTACCATGTTAAACCTGGGTATGGTGGTTCACACCTTTAATCCTGGCACTTTGGAGTCTGAGGTTGGAGGATTGCTGTGAGTTTGAGGCCAGCCTGCGCTACATACATAGCAAGACCTTGCCTAAACCAAAAAAAAATTCATATGTAACATTTTATTACATCTTCCTGTGTACTTTATTTTATTTGAAATCAATTTAAGCCAGGCCTAATGGCAGATACCTGTAATCTCAGCATTTGGGAGGCTGAGGCAGGAGGATCACTACAAGTTTGAGGCCAGCCTGAACTACATAGCAAGACCCTGTCTCAGAAAAACCAAGTAAGGGCTGGGATTTAGCTCAGTGGTGCTGCCACCTGCCTTACAATTGCTAGGTTCCGCGTTCAATCTCCAGTACTCCCCAAAAAATAAGTTTACTTTTTTTTTTTTTTTACTGGGGATCAAACTCGGGACCTTGCACTTGCGAGGCAGGCGGTGGAACCACTGAGCTAAATCCCCAGCGCTAAAACAACTTTTAAACAATGCAGAATTGCATACCTAGTTAAACACAACTGTTTTATCTCCATAAGTTAGAATATTCATTATGTTAAGAGGTTAAGTCATAGGGGGAAAAAAATGAATGTTGTGCTGAGGTCGCAAATATTAACAAGTTTCAATTTGAATTTCTAAATATGTTTATACTATTAAAATACTGCTGTTCTTGCCTGATTTTAGGTTTTAAAATTAGTTCATTGAATCTACACCCTGACATACCCTGTGGTGTTCCCAGTCTCATTATGTTAAAAGAATTTCATGCTGGCATTTCTTTATACCAAAGGTAGCAGAGATTCCATTGCAGACTACATCAGAAAGAAGTCAAAAGAAGAAACAAAGTGTGTTCCTCGTTTCTTTTAGCACATTGGTCCTCTATCTGATTAATATTTAACCTGCCTAAGTTTCTTTTTGTGCTTTTTCTCAGAAGTACTATTCTTCCCTCTTTTTATTCTCCTGGGTTACTCATGCCTATGTCTGTTATTGTTTTTAGCAAATCACAGATGAAGGTCTCATTACTATATGCAGAGGGTGCCATAAGCTGCAGTCCCTCTGTGCCTCTGGCTGCTCCAACATCACAGACGCCATCCTGAATGCGCTAGGTCAGAACTGCCCGCGGCTTAGGTAAACACTTCTTATGTAGCTGAAAAAAAATCAAGGAAGAATAACAAAAGCCTCCTTCACCCGTGTTTATTTCTTGGAACTTTATAACATGTTATTTTTGCTTTTGTATGATACCTGTCTCAAAGTTTTTTAACACTAATCCTAAATTCATTTATGTTTATAGTAATGCTGCCTGATGTGTGGCAGTATTTGGAGATAGTGCTACAGAGGGACCTCTTTTGTTTGTTTCGGTTTGGTTTGGTTTTTTGTGATACCAGGGATCAAACTCAGGACCTTGCACTTGCAAGGCAGGCTCAGTCAGGCTCAGCATCACTGAGCTAAATCCCTGGCCGGTAAGGGGGACCTCTTTTGTGCTGGTGTTCTCTTAGAATGGCTTGTTTCTCTGTGGCTGGCTCTTTTTCTCTGTTTGAATATGCGGCTGGTTTGTTATGTTCTGTGAATTCTGTCTTAGTGTGCATGTAGTATCAAACCCATACTGATAACAGTTTTTTAATGAGTAGAAATGACCCTCATGTACTTTTTCGGGGGTACCAGAGATTGAACTCCGGACCTTGTGCTTGTGAGGCAGGTGGCAGTGCCACTGAGCTAAATCCCTGGCCCTTTGAGCTAAATCCCTGGCCCTTCATGTGCTTTTTTTGTTATGCTTTGTTTTGTTTTTGTTTGGTACTGGGGATCAAACTTGGGACCTTGGGCTTGCAAGGCAGGTGGAGAAACCACTGAGCTACATCCCCCATCCCATGTTGTATTTTGTTTTCATGTTTACAATTTTTGCAGAACTAGAGATGGAACCCAGGGCCTTACACATTTACAGCACTCCACCACTGACCTGCATCCCCACCCCTTTGTCTATTTTTATTTTTTATTTTCTGGTACCAGGAATTAAAATTGGTCTTGTGGTTGTCAGGCAGGCACAGCACCACTGAACTACATCCCCAACCTTTTTTTTTTTTTTTTTTTTTTTTTTTAGCTAAGGTCTTTCTAAATTGCCCAGCTGGCTTTGAACCTCCAGTCCTCTTGCCTCAGCCTCATGAGTACCTAGGATTACACATATATATGTCATTTATCTGGCTCTCCCCTCTCCCCCCACAGAGGCAGGGTCTGTCTCCCTTTGTAGTTTAGGCTGGCCCTGAACTCACTGTGTAGCTCAGGCTGGCCTGGAACTCAAAGCCATCCTCCTGCCTCCAGCCTTGAGTGCTGGGATTACAGGTGTGCGCCACCATGCCTGGCTTCTGTTTTTGCTTTCTATAGCAATGTTTATGCCAGGCACAATGACACACAGTTGTAACCCCAGGTATTGTGGAGGCTAGGGCAAGAGGATCACAATTTTGAGCCCAGCCTGGACAATTATCAAGAATTGTGTCTCATGGGGCCAGGGATTTAGCTCAGTGGTTCGGTGGCCTGCCTTGCAAAGTGCAAGGACCCGAGTTCAATCCCCGGTACCAAAAAAAAAAAAATATTGTGTCTCAGAAAAAAATCACGTCAACTGCCCTCAAGCGCAAGGACCCAAGTTTGATCCCCAGTACCCCCCCCCAAATTTTTTATAAATCAATAACTAAAATGTCTGGGGATGTAACTCAGTGTGGAGCGCTTGCCTGTGGGAGGCCCACAAATAAATAAGCGACACTTAAATGCTTAACATATGTGCTTTACAAGTATTAATCTGTTTAACCTCTGTAACATCATATAGGTACTGTTACTGTCTCCTACTACTGATGGGAAAACCAAAACAGACAAACTAACTGCTCAAGGTCTCCGAGCCCTTCCTAAGGGCAGGAACAAGAGTTCACAGCCAGGTGTTCTGCTCCAGAGCCCATAAAACTGCTTTTCTGATATCTAACAATCATTGTAAAGCAAGAAAACTTCCTAAAAATTTTTATTTACTTGGTGATACGCCCAACCATAATTGATGAAAGAACATTTGCCTGCCATATCAGAATTCCATAGTAGCACATACACTAGTTAGTAAAAAATCAGTAATATCAGAAATCTGTTCTAGAGCACTTACTACTCAAGAGCCAGAGAGGTAATCAGACCTCTCTAAAAATGCTCTACAAGCTGGGAATGGTAGCCTACACCTGTAGTCCTAGCACTCCAGAGGCTGAGGCAGGAGGAGTGCCACATGTTCAAGGCCAGCCCAGGCTACATAGTGGATTCAAGGACATCCTGAACTACATAGCAAAACCCTGTCTCAGAAAACCAAAGGAAAAATAAATACTAAACTATTTTTTTTTCTATTGTAGAGGAAGGCATCTTCAACTCATATTCCTGTCTGGTTTTATTGTTAGAACAGAAAAGGGCCGAGAATTTAGCTCATTGGCACCATGACTGCCTTGCAATTGCAAAGGTTCTGAGCTCCATCCCTGATACCAAAACAAAACAAAAAAAAAACCATAAAGGCTCTCACATGTGACAGTCCAAAATTGTGTTTCAGCTGGACATAGTGACACACACCTATATACCTATAATCCCAGCTGCTTGAGAGGCTCAAGGCAGGAGGATCACAAGTTCACCAGCCTGGACAACTTAGCAATACCTTATCTCAAAATACAATTTTATTTTTAAGTATTTTTATCAATACGTGTTCATAATGCATAATGATTATATTCATCATGGCAAGATAGAGTTTTAAAGGGGAGGGCTCTGGAGAACTTGCCTAGAATACTGAAGGTCCTGCTACCACAAAAAGCAAAGACCTGTTTCATTCAAATCCTGCTGCCCATTGGATATAGCATTCATTCATTTCTGATTGATTTTCAGTTGCTGTTACTATAGCTTTGATTTTTTAAACTTTGATGTATAGGTTATTTGTAAGCAAACAGTATCTATTTCTTGGTACCATCAGATAGTACAGATGTCATCAGAGTTTTCACAGACTAGAGGTGTGTGTATGTGTTTGTGTGTGTGTGTGTGTACACATGTGTGCACGCACACAGTACTGGGGATTGAACCTAGGGTCTTCACCCTGAGCTACATCCCCAGCCCTATTTTTTTGTTTTGTTTTGTTTTATAACTTCATCTCACCAAGTCATTAACTTGCCCAGGCTAGGCTAGAAGTTAGGATTTTCCTATCTCAGCTTCCAAGTGTGCTGGATCACAGGTGTCCACCACCATGCCCAGCCAAATAGACTTTTGTTTTGGGTTTGTTTTTTTTTTGTTTTTTTTTTTTTTTTTTTTTT